GGGTGGGGTGGGGCGCGGACTGCCCTCTGGGTTTTCCTGGAAGGTGTTTGTTCTCGGGAAAGGAGGGAGGGGGCCACTGCGAAAAGGTGCGGCCTGTGCCTTTACCATCGACCACCGCTGCCGTCAGCAGACCCTTCTTCTTGCTGCTCAGCCGGTCGTGCGTCTGGCACTGCTGGTCCCGGAAGCTGGGCAGGCCCTTGGGGCAGGGCGGGTTCTCGCAGACTGCGTGCTCCACGCTGGCGCCTGGGCAGTGTGTGCCTCCAGGCCCAGGGCTGGAAGGAAGAAACGGTCTGTGTCAGTCAGTGGGAAGGGGCTGCGGACAGGGCAGAGGGCTCAGCTGTTGCCTCTTTTGCCAGGAGGGGGAAGGGAGGGGCGGGGCATGGTTTGCAAAGCAACCCTTCCCTCCCCCACCCCACCCCGCTAGCTCTTATACACCACGTCTCAGCGCCCCTGGACCCACGCTGATGGCATGGCTCAGTGAGATATCAGGGAAATGCATCCAGAAAGTGTAAATCAAGGACATCCGAAAATGAAATGGGGTGAGCATCGGTTCGGCAAGATCTGCAGATTGTTTCTTTCATCTGAACTTAAAACTGGGCTATTTGTCAGAAGCTAAGCAGTATTAGGCCTGGTTAGTACTTAGAAGGGAGACCACCTAGGAAGACCAGGTGCTGTAGGAGTAAAAAATAAAAAATAAGGGATTGTAAGCTGACAAGGTTCTTGCAATCTGTGAGGTCGACCAGGGGATGCCTCGCCTAAAAAAAAATAAAACAAAAAATAAAAAAAAAAAACTGGGCCATCTGTAACACTGAACACCCCAAGGGTTTTGTGTGTGTGCGAGTGTGTGTGTAGTTTTTGATTTTTCGGGTCTTCTATAAAATGAAGACCTTTAAATGGCTCCTAGGTACACTCCTGAGCTGAGTTTCAGGATGAGCAAATAAATAGCTCTCGTTTACTTTATAGTAAAAAGAATCAGAAGGATCAATTCACTTGTTCATGGGCTTTGGGTAGAGACCAGTCAGATCTTGGCTCTGGGCCAGTGTGAGACCACACGTGGCCCGTGGTAAACTGGGTCCCAGATGCCTGCGCTTGGGGGGGAGGTTGTTAAGAGGTTCTAGAGACACAGTTGTGTTTTCTGGTCAAGTCACATGTGTGGGGGGCAATGCGGAGAAGAGGCGGGCGCTGGCCTGTCTGGCTGAAGTGTGGCTCTGCCGCGAGGTCCCTGGGAGCCCTTGCGGGACTCATTTCCACAACGCCATCGTGATGGAGTGAGCGCGTCCCTCCGTGCTTTGTCATGAAATTCAGCACGCACGAGAAAACGGCGCAAACCGCAACTAACTGTTCCACTCGACGACTTTTTATCAGTCACACTGTCCCATCGGCAGGGGGTCACTTTCGACACATCAACCATCTCATTGTGGGTGCTGCTTCTCCTCTCTTTGCCATTTCTCACGTTCAGACAGTGAGGTTGGCCTGTGATCACTGCCTTGGGTGGGGAGGGGAGATACAACAGAAGGTGACAAAGATCTTTAGGTTTTCGTGTCACCAAAGCCTATAATGGGGGATCCACAGACTTTCTGCCAGGGGCCAGATAGTAAATATTTTCGGCTTTGGGGGCCACACAGTCTCTGCTGCAACGACTCAAACTCTGCCGTTACAGAACAAAAGCGACCAGAGACAATGCAGCAACAAGCGCATCGTCGTGTGCCAATAAAACTTTATTTACCAAACTAGGTTTCGGGCCATATTTGGCCCGTCGGCCATAGCTTGCCAGGTCCTGGTCTACATTTCTGTGCTGGAGGAAACTTCTGGAGTGGGAGGGGAGGCCCCGCCTGTGCCTCCGTGCCCACCTCACGCCCACCAGACAACACCTCTCCTGCCTGGGGATGGGAGGTGGCGGCGGGGGTGGTCTGCCCTGAGAGGCTACACACACTGGCGGTCTCAGGGAGGGGCCCTGAGTTTCGCTCTCAGACTTCGGAAGTAGCGAAACCTCCCTGAAATGTATGGGATCTGAGAACAGAGGAAGCTTCTGTTCTTTCATCTGTCCGGAGCGCCAGAGAGGCAGAGGGACCTCAGAGAAACGACTGCATGACATGTGTAGGAAGACGGCGCCCCGGCCGGCCTCCCCGGAGCCCTGGGCCCGAGCGCCTGTGCCTCAGGGTGCTCCCCTCATTAACCGTTTCCCATGTTTCTTCCCACTGTCCGACCTCCTCCCACAGGCTAGTCCCCTCTCAGCGCCCCCAGCTCGCCACCCCAGCTCCCCCACCTCCATCCCTCCCGCTCCGCCCACCCTCTCAAGGCCACGCCTCCATCCCGCAGCCCACTTTTCCTTCCGACCCTACTGCTGCCCTAGTCTCTGCTATGGTGCTTATCATCGGCCTTGCGAAATGATGGACCGGTTCCCACCTTCTGCCTAGTCCTCTGTGGGCTCCAGCCGAGAACCCTGCCCAGGCTGGTCTTCAGTAAACAGTATTCAGACTCGATTGCAATATATTATCAGAATTTATCTTAAAATGACCAAGTGGGTGGCGTCAGAGGAGGCAGAGGAGCACGGAGCACCAGGAATCCGTCTCTCCACCTGGACAAGTGCACTGGCAAAAATGGTCTGAAGTAACCGTTTTCACCGTCTGGAGCCTGTCTGAGAGCTTGCAGCCTCCAGGAGAAAGCCTGGCTGGTAGGCTGTGGTTAATTTAGGTCACTTTATTTTGAGTGTGGTGGGGGTTCCCCTGTCCCCCACGGCCTGGCCCCACGACAGGCAGCTCTGCCTGCATTCCTGGTGTGGCTTACTGGAGTCAGGGTGGATAATAAGGACCTTATCCTTTGAATATCTGCAAGGAGAGGTGCCAGCAAGATGAAATCTCATCCTGAAATGAGGTATGGCCACCTGAGGACACGGGTAAGAAGCTGTAAGGTCAGAGTCATTATCACGGAAACAGAGATCATGGGCTAAGGCACCCGGAGGGTTTACGCTGTGCCCGCTCCCTGAAGCTGTGTCCTCCCTAAGTCTGGACAAATAATCGGGAGCATCCCGACTGCACCCTTCAGCTGAGGGAACGAAGCTCCCAGATGTTAGGTAACTAACCGCTCAGTGTGTCTGAAGAAGCGTGTTGCCAGGGGCAGCACGCATGGGCTGGGCCGGGGCTGCCCATCGGCCATCATAGGGCTGGGCAGGCCAGCCTGGTCCACTGCTACGGTCACCAAGGGTGTGATGGGTGTTTCAAGCTGCTTCTCCGATATCAACCCCCAATTTCTAGTTATACCCTATTAAGACTTTCTAAAGACGAATAAAGTAGTTTAAATGTAAGACCAAAGGACGTGAACAGGCACTTCCCAAGAAAGGCCGTCCAAAGGCAGAGACAGACACACAGATGCTCAGCCCCACGGCTCATGAAAGGAAGGCAGATGGAAACCTCTTAGAGATGCTACCCATGCCCGCCGCACGTGCAGGTCTGCTGTTACCCAGGGCACAGCTGCTCAGTGAACCCGGGTCCTCGTTGGGCCACACGCACGCACACCAGGGGCCAGCAACGCCCTCCTGCACGCGCCCCGACCCCCATGCACTTGACTGTGACGAGCGTGCCGTGCTGGGCCACACTCCAGGACAGGAGCGCTTCTCTCTGCGCTATACCGTAATGAAGATGCTTCAAATTAAAAAAGAATACGGTAGAGGGGCTTTGGTGAGATCCTGGAAGTGTGTGGAGCGAGCTGAGCTGCCCCGAGCTCCTGCAGGGCCACC